AGCAAGGACCACTGTGCCCTATATAGGGGGTCATCATCCCGTTTGTGCAGCCAAAGCACGGCATCCAATAGCAACTACAAAGCAGTGCTTGGATCTGCAGGGTGACATGTCTAGGCTAGGGCAGAATACAGACAGCTAGTCTCAGAGATAGAAACATGCTAGGAGCTAGTCTTGGGGCCCAGCTCCACTTCCCAACTTTGTTGGATACACACATACACAAACACACATGTGTTCTTCAGGGACTATTTCCAGAGGTAAATACTCACTTATGGACCCAGTAAGAACTATTAGCTACTTGGGGCTCCAGGAAACTGGGGTAGGGGAAGAAAGAAAGAGTATCCAAGTGATCTAGTCTCATGCAGACAGAAGTGGAGCAGTGTCCAGGGAGGAGAGGGCCTGAGATTTGGGTGAGTAACCTGTGGAGGCCCCATTTCAGGACTGAGGCTTGCCACAGCATCTTCAGCTTTCAGCAGGACGGATTTCAATTAGATGTGCATAATCTCAGAGCTGCAAGGAACCCTACTGATATCTTACAAGTGAGGAGAGGAATTTCATTGATCTCAGAGGCTCAAATCCTTAGGCTCTGCATTTGTCTAAACCCACTGGCACCATCTGCCTCTGTACCCCCAGTGCCACTTGAGGCTGGCATTGGGTGGGCATGGGAACAGGAGAGTAGCCAGTCCAATGTCCAGTGGCCAGTAGGGAGTCTCTGTCCCCTCTTCACCCAGGCGACTAGCTCCTGTACCCCCGAAACATCCCTGGGTTGACTGTTGTTTCACTTCTATCCCCAAGGCCCAGCAGTTCTTCTTTTTCCAGACTCCAGTCTTCTAACTGAGCCTAAAGAAGCTGTCCCCAGGTCTGGGCCTCTTGTGGGCACTGCCAGCCTCAGAGCAGCGCCACAGTTTCCAGCCCTGACAGGGACTCTTTCTTATAAGTGGTCATGTACCAGGGATACAGGACATCAAAGGAGGCCCACACCCTGACATTTGGGGACCAGAGCCGGGGTCAAGGACTGAATGGGTTCAGGTAGCAAGCTCTTCCAGCTCCATCTTCTCAAAAGGTCTGAAGCCATTTGTTCCCTTTCCCTGTCCTCAGTTCAAGGCACTGGACCAAGCCATTCCACTTCTTTACTTCTCCAACTAAAACAAAACGCACATTGCCCCACTTCCTCTTTCCTCTCACCAGAGCCCTGTGCGTGCACACACACACACACACACACACACTGTGAGTCATGCACACACGTTCACACATCCCAGCGAATGCACACCTCACATTCCCAAACTCACACCCAGGGCTGGCTCCTTTTACAACAGGTCCCAGCTGCTCACATCTCAAACCGGTTCTCATGCTCTCAGATTCCTGAAAGTTTCAGAAAACAATATCATTTGAGGGCTGCTGATGGCTGTCTTCTTTCTCTGCCTGCAGTAATTCTGGCCTTAGTGTCTTCCAGTCCCCTTTCATTTATTCCACCCTACAGAGACTCAAGGAGATGAGAAGGGGTTGAAAACAGGAAAAAGTCTCTGTATCCTCCCACCCTCAGGCTTTCCCCACCTCCGAGACATGTCACTGAGAGAAGAGAGGTCAAAGGGATTCCTGAGGAATTTCTAAGCAGTCCACTCCCTTCTCCACTTTCTGGAAAAATGGGGGGTGGGCTTAGAGGGAACTGACTAAAGATTAGGCTGTGAGTGGGGACTCTCCAGTGTGGCCTGGATGGGGCACAAGCAGTAGCCGGCTGCCCACGGGGCCACCCTTACCCGCTGACACGGTTATGGTTTTCATTTCATATTTTGGAGGGAGGGGCTAGGAGGAACAGTCCCCTCACTGTAAAGAGCTGGCCACAGGGGCCCAGGGAAGCGGGGAGAAGAGGAAACAGCCACATTAAAGAGGAAGAGAAGGGTGGGGGAAAGAAAGAGACACATATACCCAGACAGAGACCCAGAGAGACACACCGAGACAGAGAGACACTGTTTGCCACCACACGAACACTCTCAGTCCCAGGTATGGTGTTACTTGGAAATTCTAAATGCATGACTTTATCAAAACTCTATCCCTAACAGGGAGAGAAAACTACCAGGTAAACTAAATGGCCAGCCTGGCTCTCCTGGAGCCAGCCCTGGGGACAAGTTTCCCTGGAGGCCTAGAGACCTTTTCATTCAGCTGTAACCTGAGCCCTATGTGAGGATTAGGTCTTTTAAACCACTCGCCGCCCCCCCACACCTACCCCCCTACGAGCAAAGCAAATTAATGCTTTTAAGTTAACAATTATCTTGGTTATCCAGTCTGTCTACTTTAAAATATACAGACAAGCACTTGAAAAACACTCAAAACCCTGTCCCCTCATGCTCCCTCCCTCCCAGTCACACAGGCTTACCCACCCACTCTTCCACACAGTTCTCACACTAAAACAGCAGTTTACTCTTAGTAACTAAGTTGCAAGAAACACAGACATCCAGCTATGTTGCCTGTGGGTGATCGTGGTGAACCTCTCGTGTGCACACTCGCACACTCACCTTTACACTTAGGGCTCCCTTCCTTGTCTCCCTCCTTCCCCCCTTCCACATGACTTTGGTTTTCCCATTGCAGGAATCTCTGATGAAATGGGACAGAAACCCAGATATCCCCAGAGGTATAGTAACTCCATGCAAGATACTTACCAAGCGTATTTGATTTTAAAGATCTTCTAGTGCTTCACATAAAGCATGTGGCATTAAAGACACACTTTGTGGCACTGCTGATAACCAGGAGGTATGTTTGAAGGCAAGACCTCCCTGATGCCCACAGACTCTGTCTATGGGTAAGGTGGTAAGGCTGCCCCACCTGGTTAGTACTAGTTCTTCCTGCAGGATCTGCCTGCAAATTTGTGCCCAGAGACATCCCTGTAACCCAGCAAACCTGCTATTAGGCAATCTCTGGCAGATGGGGTTTGTAGATTTCCTGAAGAGAAGGGTTCAATGAAAGGCTTCCATTCTAGGCCAAGCTTAGGGATCAGAAGAAAAGAAGGACTATGCCAAGCTAATTGCAGTCCAGTCACAGCAAGGGTGGCCTGTGAATGAGATAAGCTTCTAGGCCAAGCTTAGGGATCAGAAGAAAAGAAGGACTATGCCAAGCTAATTGCAGTCCAGTCACAGCAAGGGTGGCCTGTGAATGAGATAAGCTGGGGACAAAACTACCCTTCTATAAGTTCCTTGAGGGCAGGAGCCTCCACTCTGGCAGCATTTTCCTCTGTACCCAGCAGGGAGTCCAGTGAAAGTGGGAGCCCTGGAGTACCACGGAGGAATTCTGACTCCCATGCCCGAATGATGAACTGATCTCCCATACTTGAGTGCCTTGGTTTGATGGCACCTGTCCCTTGGAGGGGCCAGGCCCCCCTGGAATACACTGCTTTTCCTTTGGTCCCCAGCCTCACTAGACCACTACAGACACTGGCTTCAACTTGGCCCTTATCTTGTCTCTAGATTACTTCATGAAATCTGTTCCTTCCTTCAGACTAAACTCCCTAGCGAATTCCATGTTATGAATAAATCAACACACACTACAAAGGCCAGCTTTGTTTATGAAAACACAAATCCACAATGAGGAGAGGGGTTGCTCCCAGGTTGAGGTGGCAGTGGTGGTGGGCTGTCTGGAACCAGGACTGGTAAAGAGGCAGTCCAGGGTTGGAAGGTATGGGGAGAGGGTCCAGTATTTGACAGCTGAGGGTCTAATTTCAGTTCTGCGAAAGGACAGGTTGGAGGGGGAAGAGGTTAGCTGAAGAGGCAGTGTTCGAGGAGAGGAGAGTGGTACTGACACAGCGCCTTCCTTTTCACAGAGCAGGAGCCCATCCCATACAACAGAGCAGCTTCAAAGCCAAGAGCTCAGGCTCTGGGACACAGTGACCTACGTCAGACACTTAGGCTTCCTCAACTCCCAAGTTCAACTTTCCTTCTGGTCCAGCCACCTCCTCGCCCCAGCTGGCTTCAGGAGCCCCTGAGACAATAGGCAGAATCAGACCCTCCTGGGCAAAACCTTGCCAGGAGGAATTTTCTTTTTGTCCATATAAATCTCTTGTCTGTGAGGACACGATGGGGGAGGGGTACAGCAAGAGGTCAAGTGGGAGGAGGAAACTGTCCTGAGAGAACTGTGGTACATCAGCCTTGTCGGTGTCTGCACAGCCTTGGGACCCGCCAGGCGATGAGCTGGGGGTCAGGGACGGGGGCGGGAGGCCTCCCGGTCTCTCTCTTTAATTCCTAGAGGGATCTGTCAAAGCTCCCCAGCCTAGAATTCTACTTTGTTATTTTAATGCAATTGTGACCTGGATTTAAATGAAATTGGAAACCCGAGGCCTTAATAAATAAATATTATGATAAGAAATGAAAGCCCTGCAAGACGAAAGAGATTTCCCCCCAAAGAGGCAGAAACGCAACATTCCTGTCGGAGTCAGTCAGAGAAATTTTCTTCTCCTCTTCACCCCCTACCATTCGGTGAGAGATGAGTTGATTTTTTTCCATAAAAGACGCTATTTTTCTTCAACATTTTTCCACTGATAGGGCATTAACTTAGAAATGTCTGTCTAACTTTGCATGCGGGTTGGGGGTAAGGGAAAGAAATATACCGCACAGCTGAAAAGTTTTCATTATTCCCTCAGTCTCTCCAGGCCACAGCGTAAGTTTCTGGCAATGTTTGAGAGAAGACAAGATTCCCTCTCAGACTTTGAAGGACAAGAAGTCTTTCGAAGATGCTGGGGGTAGATGAAGTCGGGCGGAATTCTGAGGCGCGTGGTCTCTTCTGCCCACTGCCCCCAGAGCTTCTCACTCCTCTCTGCCGCCCCCAGCTCGTCTGGCTTTTCGCTCCGGGCGCAGCGCCCAGCAGTCGGGCCCCTGGCGGGGGAGTGCGGGTGCACAGAGCCGAGTTCTGACAGCAGCACGCTCCCCAGCACCTGCCCTGCCCCTCGGGAATCGCGCCTAGGCCCTGGGGCCCAGCAGCTGGGACAGCCCCCCGGCTGTGCGCCCCTCCTTCCTTACCTTGCGCGGCTTTGCTGTTCTGGGCAGCGCGGGCGTGGACCAGCAGGACGAGCAGGCAGAGCCCGGGTACGCGCCCCGAGCCCATGGCTGGAGCTACGGGCGGCCCGGCCGCCGGGGCCGGTCTCGCGGCCCGGGGAGGGCGGAAGCCAGTTGGGTCCCAGCGCGCAGGAGGGGGAGGGGAGGGGGCGCCCCGCCGAGGCCAGGCCGGGGGCTCTAGCCGCGGGGCGCGGACCGCGGCGCCCTCAGCGGGAGGCTCCCGATGCTACTGGCTCCTCCTGGCCAGACGTCGGGGAGAGCGAGGCGGAGAGTGAGACTAGGCGAGGGGCGCCCGGGGCGACTGACTGAGGGGAACCCCCGCCCTCTCCAAGCCGGGCTCTGCCAGCGGCGGCGGCGGGGCTACACTGTCTAATCCCACCCAATTTCCAGCTTCGCAGGGAGAGAGCTGCAGCCGGAGAGCGCGCAGAGCCCCGAGCGAAGGACCTGAGAAAGGGGAGGGGAAACGCAGCGCCAGAAACACGCCCTTTCTGCCTCTCTTTCTTCCTCTCGCTCTTTCTCGGTCTCTACGGCTCTTTTTCTTCGCCTTTCTCCTCCTCCTCCTCTTTCTCCTCCTCTCCTCGCTCCTTTTCGTTTTCTTCCTCCTCCCCCTCCTCCTCCTCCTCCTCCTCCTCCTCCACCACCTCCTTTTTCGTGCCCTTTTTTCTTTCAAATGGGGCCTCGGCGCGGCGGCCGCTCCCCCTGCGCGCCCGGGCGCGGCGGCCCCCTCCCCAGGCTGCCGGGCCGCTGCCTGCAGGAATTTACAATCCCGCGCTGGGGGAGCGGGCCTGGTCTCCATGGAGACGGCTTCCCCGGGAGCAGGGAGGTCAGGCGCAGACCGCGCACAATCAATGGATCAATGCAAGCCCCGCTCGGCTCCAGACCAAACAGCACCGGGCCCCGGCTCGTCCTCTCTCCCAGAGGAAAGATTGGGGAAGCGAGAGTGCGTCCCCACCGCTCTCACGCGAGGAAGGCCGTGCGGCACAGGTTTGCACGCACACTTCCACCGGAGACAAAGAGGGCGTGAGGTGTCGGGGAGGCTGGGGCAGACGTGGACATGTGGGCACTCGGACATGTCCACCAACACAGCCTGCCACGGGACATAGAACCTCGAAATACAGAGCGCCTCCGACACCAGGCTGAGTAACCCCCTCCCAACTTTTACAGCTATGACACCCCCCCTCTCAGGACTCAGTCCCCATTCCTAGATCTGAGTCCACTTTGAGGACCAAGAAGAAAGTCACCTCCCCATGCTAAAACTGCCAGCTCCAGGGCAGACTCCCTTGCAGTTAAGGCCTCGGAGGTAAGCCCACTGAACCACCCTACCCATCGAGACATGGACTAACGTACAGACACTTTCATGTGGTCAGCACAGGGGCGAAAGCTACCCCGCAGAATCATGTCTATGTGTCTAAACACGAAGACATAAAGACAGGTTCAAGAGGCTCCTCCGAACCTGCACCTGGCTTCAAGAGGTGGTCGTGACTGGTCCGGTCCATTCTTCAAGGTAGGGTCACTGGAGTCATTTTATATATGGGGAAGCTGAGAAGCAGAAAGAAAAAGCAAAGCTCATAGGAGACCTGGCAGGGGAGGGGAAGCCTCTGAGTGTGGTGGGGCCCTGGCAGAAGGATCCCTAAACAGGGCCTGAATCAAGATCTATCAGGTATGGGCTCCCGACCCCTGTCCAGTCTTCTCCCCAGATATTTTCAGGAGCAAGTAGAATGAAATGTCAGAAGCATTCCTGAAGGAAAATGAAGCCCCCAAACAAACTGCAACCTTAGAGGTGGGTGTGGGAGGCCCAGAGCCCACTGGACATACTGTCCCTGCTGGTTATGATATGGCATATGCTGCTTCTGGTTATGATATGGCATATGCTGCTGCTGCTTTTGTAGTACCACTTGCAAGAGCCATCTTGTTATTCCTTCCCTGTTATCTTCCTGAGTTACTGTCCAACTGAGTCCCTGCAGAAGACAATGGGAATTGGACCAGCACCCCAATTCACAGTGTCCTGGTGATATAAGCCCTGCTTCTACCCTATAGAATCCTCTGAAGAGCTAAGGGTACTCTGGAACCAGATTAGGTGGGTGGCAGTGGGAGAGAAGAGCAGGGAACTGCCTCTTTTTGCCGAGTTGTAGAGGAGAAGCTCAGCTGGTCCAAGGGGAGAAGAAGAAATCATCAGAGGGAAACTGGTAGGATGAGATAAAAGGCAACTAGAGGGTAACAAAAACGATCTTCCAGACACATAGTGGCTGAGGTGGAACAATCCACCTGAGCCTCCCTCCCTGAAAGCCAGGGCAATATCCATACTCAGAGGGCCGGGAAATCACCCTGAACTGAAGACCCCAAATAACCCATAACCCCCTTACGGAATCCTCCTTGTCCACCTTAAGGAGGATGTAGAGGCCCTCCCTCCATCCCCCCAGGGACCCAGAGGAGCTACACTAGTGTCCAAAGAAGGCAGAGGAAGAGCAAAGCAAGGCAGAGTGCCATCTCCCCTCTCAGCCTTGGGGGGCTCCTCGGCTCTCTCTCTGTGCCCCCATGGAGATCACAGGAACTGTCTGGCAACCTCCAATCTTTCTCTTTTTTTTGAAACCATGCGGTTTAGGGCAAATAGGATGGCAAGTTTATACTTGTCCTCCAACCCTACACATAATTGGTGGCAGCAGGCAAAACTGCTGCAAGGGGAGGGGTTTGCCAGTGGAATAAAGGAGGGAGGGCATCTTAGAGTGACAGGGCTGGGAGGGACCTCGATCATCTGACCCAGCCTTTTCTGTGGCCTCCACATCATTCCCATGATCTATGTGCTCCCATCCCAACGGTCATCTCTGATGCTATGCAAGGTTCTCCAGGCCTCCTCCCCCAGGCTTCCTGGGGGCACTGCCCCTTCCAACTCTTGTTTTCTGAGGAAACTGAGGCCCATTGACATAGGACTTGTTTAAAACTAATTTTTATCCCAGGAAAGAAGTCTGAGTCTGTTTCCATCCTACTTTTCTACTCAATCCCTAGGAAAGGAACAGTTCAGCTCTTCTCCTGGTGGACAGGACCGTTGCCAACAAAGCCCACCCCTTTCCCCAGCTGATGTGGGCATCCAATATTGAGGGTTTCAGAACTGAGTCACCTATCCTGGTCATTGCCTCTTCCTCCTGGGTACCCTGAGGGCTCTGTGAGGCTAGTCTGGGTCCTAGCAGCATCTTCCCTGTAGAAAATTGGACCTGGTCTGGTCTCATTCTGAGACCAGTCTCATAGCCTCACACTCCAAGAAAGTCCTCACAACCTTTCAAGAGGTCTTTCCTCTTTCCCTTACAATGGAAGGAAAGAAGATAGAAAGAGGGTGAACAGTCGAGAGGCAGCTTCCATGGTTGGAGGACATTGCTCCTTCTGCACAGTTTGCCCCAGTTTTTAAAATATCCTCTCTCTTTTCTCTGCTGTCCCTCAATTGGGGTGCTGGTCCAATTCCCATTGCCTTCTGCCTTGTCCTCTTCTGCAGGGACTCAGTTGGACAGTAACTCAGGAAGATAACAGGGAAGGAATAACAAGATGGCTCTTGCAAGTGGTACTACAGAAGCAGCAGCAGCATATGCCATATCATAACCAGCAGGGACAATATGTCCAGTGGGCTCTGGGCCTCCCACACCCACCTCTAAGGTTGCAGTTTGTTTGGGGGCTTCATTTTCCTTCAGGAATGCTTCTGACACTCATTTCATTCTACTTGCTCCTGAAAATATCTGGGGAGAAGACTGGACAGGGGTCGGGAGCCCATATCTGATAGATCTTGATTCAGGCCCTGTTTAGGGATCCTTCTGCCAGGGCCCCACCACACTCAGAGGCTTCCCCTCCCCTGCCAGGTATCCTATGAGCTTTGCTTTTTCTTTCTGCTTCTCAGCTTCCCCATATATAAAATGACTCCAGTGACCCTACCTTGAAGGGCAGTGCCACATAGTCTAATGGAGAGCACATATGAGCTAGAAGTAAATTGCCCTGAGGCAATGTCAGGCCCTACTATTTCCCAGCCATCTATTTTTCTTGGTGAGTTGTTTCTTCATCTGGAAAAACAGATACGGTTATATGACCTCAAAGGTGTCCATCAGTGTCTGTGTGTACTCTAAACAAACCTGCAATTCAAATTTCAGCTCTGTTACTTTCTACCTCTGTGACTTCAGGCAAGTTACTCAATCTCAGGGAGCTTCAGTTTTCTCATCTGACATAGGGAATAAAAACCTTATAGGGTTAATGGTGTAAATTAAATGAGATAATATGTGGAAAACACTTGGCACATAGTAGGCATTCAATAGGTGGAGGCTATTGTTCTTTCCACTACTTCTCAGAAGAACAAAAGCCCAAGTGTTTGGGGCCAAGTGCAGTGGCTCACACCTGTAATCCAATCACTGTGGGAGGCTGAGGAGGGCAGATCACTTGAGGTCAGGAGTTCAAGACCAGCCTAGCCAACATGGTGAAACCCCATCTCTACTAAAAATACAAAAATTAGCCATCTGTGGTGGTGCATGCCTGTAATCCCAGTTACTCAGGAGGCTGAGGCAGGAGAATCACTTGAACCTGGGAGGTGGAGGTTGCAGCGAGCCGAGATTGTGCCACTGCTCTGACCTGTGTGACAGAACAAGACTCTGTCCAAAAAAAAAAAAAACCCAAGTGTTTGATAACAAAGGTACAGTAGTGCTTGGTGGGAGGAAGCAGCCTTGTCCCAGATCAGGCTTTGATGCCACTGGGTGTGAGCACAGCCAACTGGGCTAGATTCTCAGCACCCCCAGCAGGTTCCCGTCTGTCATACATTCCTACTGAGAACGTTCCAAAAATTCCATGCATTCCAGCACACTACCCTTATCAGCAGCAATTATCCATTATGCAGTTAGAAGAATATTGACTTGCCAGCTAGGTAGCTCTGGAGTCTCTCCATCCCTACTGTCTTGCACCTCCTTCTCTGCCTTAAGACACCCTGAAACACAAATTAGAGCTCATAGCTACCATTTACCGAGTGCTATCTATGTGCCAGGCACTGTACCAGGCACTCCATCATGAGTCGATAAGGCAAGAATTGTTATTCCCATTTTATTGGTGGGAAAACAGTCTCAGGGAGATTAACTTGCCCATGATGACAGACTAAGAAAGAATAAAGCCAGGACTTGGGCCCAGACCTAATTCTGAAGCTTGTATACCTCCTCAGCTGTCCACATTGCCTCCTCTGAATTCACAGAAACTTGATACACCTTTGCCACTCTTACACTCTAATCACTGAGGCAGGCTGAGGGTCATAGACCAGCATCTTCACATACAGGGCTCTGTACACATTTCCTTGCTCTGGAGAGTCATTAATAGAACTGCAAAAGACTTTGACCATCATCTCTCTGATGATGGGAGGTAACATGGCTTGTCCAGAGTCACACAATATTTAAGATACAAAGCTGGAAGCAAAATCTATGTCTCCCCTGACTTCTGACTCCTAAATGAGCACTCCTTAGCCTGTATCCTCAGAGCTGCCAGTACCTACTTCTGGTTCTCACTTTTCTTCTTCCTGATGA